GAGATGCCTTAACAAGGTGAGATTCATTCACTAAATCTCACCAAAAACATCTACCATATCTGTTAGTCTGGCTTCTCCAACGAACTTCCCAACCTAGGAAGATATGTCCACCAACAGACAACAAAAACCAAACCAGCAAGATTAGAAACAAATCGTCAATAGCTTTTCATGGCTAGATACACCTCCCTAGGATGGACCATGTAGTTAATGACAGTCCCGTGATCCATGGGTTGAACCGACACTCTGCCTACAGATGAAGGTAGATACTAACCTATCAAAATTCGGTGCGCTATAGGACATTAACAGATGTTAAGGAATTTAACGTGGTAGAATGGACTCTCTTCTAGGCAGGTTATGATGCAAAACAAGAACCAAAGAAGAATCTATGAACAACATCCAGAAGCTTTCGGGACTAGCCCAAACACGATATTCAAATCCACAATGACTAAATAAATAACAAGGCCCAACTAATCATGAGAATCACCAACCTTCAGACTACCCTTAACATAGGACAATAGAGGGCACTATGAAACTAGACAAGAGAATTGGTCCATTGTTTGCAGCTAATTGAAATGTATCTTTAGCAATTCTAACCTATAATTAGCAAGTTGTGAATAACTGATAATATCAAACTAGCTTGAGGGAGAGTTAAAACATATGTTGAAACTTCTCTCTCACATTAAGATATTTCCTTCTTGAGATTCTGATTTATTTCATTGACAGATTCATAGGAAATCATTTATGGAAATACCATATGTTGTTTCCTTTGGTTTTCTAGTGTTCAGGATACTTTATAAAGCTGGCCATTGTTGTTTTTTCTGGTTCCACAATCTCTATTCTAGCTTCCACGATCTTTTATATATGTAATTCTCATTCTTTTCTACTCAATAGATATTATTTAGTCTTTTCCACACTACCAAACATGTCATATAAGATATTTCTTTCAATACAAGGTATGTATTTTAAGTGAACACCTCATTGTAGAGCTATATAATGGTTGTTCAATGTGGCATTGGAGCAAACAAAGGTCCTTGGCTCGATGGTTGCCTCATCTAATTGTGATATTGTTGCTACCACTAGTTGTGATAAATAAACAGGCTTGGCCTCGATAAAAATGGATCTCCCATGTGTAGAGGGACATAAATTATTAATATTTGCTATTCACTAACAACTTGAGTTTTTATTTGATGTACCCCATCATCCCTCCCCCTCACATGGAGGAAATAAAGAGAGCACTTAAATGTAGAAGAACACCTATTTATTATGGTTATAGGATTGCAAGATCCATTTCCTTTTAGATTGGCATTGTCCCAGTAGGTTTTTAGCTAAGCACAAGTATTTCTCTTCCCCAGTATCCTTTTTTCAAAGTATAACACAATGTGAAAAAGAAAAAGAAAAAGAAAATGATATAGGTTAACAGAACTTTTATGCATTGCAATGCAGTTAAAACAAACAAATTTGTTCTCTATTTGATGCCCACTTCCTGGGGGTAAACCCTTCTATTTAACTTATTGAATTATGTTAAGATGAAAAATTAAATGTTGAACTGGTCTAATATTTATAAAATATGTGATGGGTGACAAGGAGCTGAATAGGATTCTTATGAACTTTAACATCACCAATCATTATTGTTTCCTATTCCATGATTACCATTCAAAATGATGATGACAAAAATAGGTAAGAGCTAAAAGTTTTACAAAATAGACATGCAAGGAGTATAATGTTCTATTGTCCAGCTTATATGTTTGAAGATGCGTCGAAAATTAATTTTCTGCATTATGTAAGGAAATTTGGATGATGTGCTATCAAGCATATTCATATTAAACATTTTTAGAATGTTCCTATTTAAACCTTATAACAGGAAATGGATACAATTTAAATCTTGGTTAACCTGCCTGTCTAAGATGTGTATAGCTAGATATTATAGTCTTTATATCTGTTTGTGTCTTAATATATAAGGACCCTGTACAGATAACTAAGCTGTGGTTGAAAGAGGCTATTCAACTCAATAGATTCTTTGTGCGCAAAATGCCAAATCAGGATTGAGGATTGTGGCTGCATGTTGCACACCATGAGTTGCACAGAATCAGAGGCATATTCATGACCATTGTAGTGGAGGTGCTGTATGGCTAAACATCATGGAAAGGATTAGCTTTCATCTCAAGACTAGCTTTCATATCACAATTCTAATTTCTTAAGATTAGTGTACTTATTGCTATGATAAGCTGCTTGTAACTGGGATTTATCCAAAAGAAAATACTATTTCTTTAATTATGTCGCTGCCCCTTAGTGATATAACAATGTCGTTCCTGTCATTGTGGTTGCTGGCTAGTATTTCAGAACCACGGTTTTTCAAGGACTTGTCTTCATACTCTGGTTGGTGGTAAGAAGGCTTGATTTTATGAAAGTTTGACTTTATAACTTGTTCTCTTTTACTTTTGCTTGCATCTTAACTTTGGAATAAATTCTTGTTTTAGTGCACTTATCAGTATCTATAAAAGTTGTTTTCTCTTCTATGCCACTCTGATGTCTGTTTCCATGCAGAAAAGATATAAAATGCATTTTGGGACATATAGAATTATCATTTTAAATTTTGTTGGAATTTAGATAGAATGATTTGGAATTTAGATAGAATGACTGCTGGACAGAATTACCAGAACAAAGTTTTGTATCTTAATATATTGTTAATATGGTTCTCCACTAGATTTTACATATATGACTTGTAAATTTTGCAGGTGTAATTCTTTTCTAAAATCAAGTACTACTTAATGCATTTTATAATTTTGATGAAGGGAGAGAGGATAATATGAGAACGTCATCATTTCTAGAAGAAATTGTAAATTAGAATTCTTGATCTTTTTTTTCTTTGGTATTTTTACAGAACCAATACTACTGAAGGACATTCGTATTTTAATAGTAAAAAATAATAATAATAAAAAAAATAAAAAAATATAATAATAATAATTATAATAATAATCTTACTGGAGGACATTCAATAATTTTAATGATCATACTAGAATATAACATGTGATGCTGCTTAAATTTTGCTTGCAATTCAGTTCAAGAATTATTGTGCACATCGTAAATTTTTATTACTAAATTCTGATGGCACCAGCTATTCTATAAACTCCAATTTCCTATTTATGATAGCAGATTCCTGTTGAAGGCTCATCAATTTGATTCTGCCTTTAGATCAAAATACAGAGAACGTGTATGCAAAAGCATGATAGAATATAATATGTGATGCTGCTTAGATTTTGCTTGTAATTCAGTTCAAGAATTGTTGTGTACCGATATATTTTTATTACTAAATTCTGATGGCACCAGCTATTATAAACTCCAATTTCCGATTTATGCTAGCAGATTCCTGTTGAAGGCTTATCAATTTGATTCTGCCTTTACATCAAAATACAGAGAACGGAAAAGCATGATAGAATATAATATGTGATGTTGCTTAAATTTTGCTTGCAATTCAGTTCAAGAATTGGTGTGTACATCGTAAATTTTTATTACCAAATTATGATGGCACCAGCTATTATAAACTCCAATTTCCTATTTATGATAGCGGATTCCTGTTGAAGGCTCATCAATTTGATTCTGCCTTTAGATCAAAATACAGAGAACGTGTATGGAAAAGCATGATAGAAACAGAAAAGTTTTGGACGGTACTGTTACCTGCATGCATTTCAGCAGGATGGGAAAGTGCTATCTCAACTGCCAACTTATTGAGCTCTGTGCACACATGTGGCCTGACACGATGGATGACGCGAATTTTCGAGATAATAATTGTTTTTTCTTGCATAAAAGAACAAATGGAGAACAGATTTTCTTTTCTTTTCCTTTTTTTTTTCCCTTAGTATTTTCTGACTGTTGCTTAGGGAAAATATATGTACAGAAGTCGAGTGAACTTTTGTTTAAGAGAATTATTATAAAGGGTTCTGTTCTGATTCTGTTTGCTTTTACAATTTCAGGTCCCCATGTTGAGGCATTCTCATTCACTGCTGTGAGAAAGGGATACAAATTAAATGGTTATAATTGAAGCTCGTACTCATATTATATATTGCAGCCATATACCAGTTGTTTGATTCCCTTAATTATTGTGCTGTGGTCCTTCACTTTTCCTTCGAGATGAGTTCTGTTGTTTCTATTTGGCAGTCTCCCCATGTATTTTGTAACACCATGACATATCAGCTCAGCTCTTGTTAGCAACAAAGAATGCAAATTTTTTAACATAGTACAGGATAAAACCAACCAGATTTGGCTCTTTTCCCACTTTCTACTTAGTTCATATATCTATTCTATCTCAGGATTGCGAAGCTAGAACTGTTATATTTAACACTCGATTTTGAAGGTACTTAGGGAATTGTAAAAAACCAACTTATCGTCATCCTTCACTTGCTTGAATAAATTGAGAAAGTTAAGCCACAAATCTCCCTGCTGTACCCAATTTTGTACGCCTTATGGAGTCATCTGTTTTCATAATAAGACAAGTGAAAACATAGAGCTATATCAGATGGATGGGACCTCAAAAGTAAATTACTTAGTGAAGTATGTACCTCTACAAACCAAGCAGCATTTGACAGCTAAAAATGGGATCCTAGACAACAAAACCCGTGCTCAGACTGTCCTGCTTCACATGTGTTGGGACATGCCAACATCTTTGCCCTCCCTCTCTCTCTCTCTTTCTCTCTCTCTCTCTCTCTCTCTCTCTCTCTCTCTCTCTCT